CAGGGATTGGGTCCGCAAAAATTTTGCGTCCAAAATTCTCGAATTTGCGCGCGGCTAGCGCACCTACATACAAGATTTTTTTCCCCCACCCTCGGATGGAAATCCAGGAGCCTTCACTGATGATAAGGGTTGAAAACAATGAAGAGTAGATTCTGCTTTCCGCTGTTTCTGTCTTAAGCCAAATTCACTTGTGAGGGGAAATGATGAATGTGGGATTAGACTCTCAACGTCGTAAAACAATGCGACAAAATCGCAAAAAACAAAAGATTTTTCAAGCAATGATCCTATCATGTTCTAATGTTCATAAAGCTTTGATAACCTCCTATTCCATGGTATGATCATGCATTCTATAGGCGGCCACAGAAAAATGAGCCTACTGTTATTATTAGTAAATCTTCCGCGATGAACTTTTCCGAGAAACTTAGTACCATTTTGTGGATCTGGCTTATTAACGAGTTACCGTTTTCTCTTCCTTACTGTAGGATTACGATAGGAACTTTGTGGAGGGTTTTTCGTCATTGAGGGTCATAGTTTTTACACCTATAAAAGGGCGGAAGAAGCTAAATTTTCTACATTAGGATTCCAGAGTCGCTGATTTCAAGTATGAAATTTGCATTCACTTTAGCGTTTTTCTCTTTATGGCAGCTAGACCGTAATAATCGATTTCTGATATTAGTCAAAAATTTTGACTACACCAAAAAGCGCTGCTAACTCAAAAAAAAGTGTAGCGAAATCAGCATGCATCAAAAGCTTGTCAAACAATTTAACAGATTTTTCAAAAAAATTTTCCGAACGGCCTATTTCACAGTGGCGCCATATGTTGCGAGTTCCTACCCGTAATCCTATTGATGAAAAGGGATCGGTAATTCGCTCCATACTGTAAGCTCAAGTTGAAGCCACCTCTACATTTGAAAGCTTTCGTGACAAGAGAGTTTTTTATAATCAAAGTAGGCACATTTTTTGGGACACTCTGTATATATAATAGACTATTCAATTACAGCAATCGGTGGCAGAACTGAAGAAAAAGCCGAAGAAGAGGACAGTAAAAGAGGGCAAAGGTGATGACGATGATAATGACGATGACAATGACGATGAAGAGGAAGAGGAAGAAGAAGGAAAGGACGAAAACGAAGATGAAGACGAAACGAATGATGCGAAAGGGGATGACAAAAATACGAAGAATGGCAGAAAACACGACGATGATGACGATGATGACAAGAAAGTCAAAGGTAATGCACGGGAAAATGACGACGACAAGGAGGAGGATGGAGAAGGAAGAGATGATGGTGATGATGACAAAAATGACGATGATAAGGGTACAGTTAGTAAAATTAAGAAGCACGGTCGAAAACATACTAGAATAGAAGCCAAAAAGTCGAAAGATGAGAAGAGCAAGAAGGATCACAAAGACATCGCCTCGGTGAAAAGGGATGATAAGAAGAATAGTGATGAGG